GAACATTATATTCTAAAATTGCTCTTTAAAGCATTAAAATAACTAAATTAAAAGTTAAAATCACTGAATTTAAAAAGGAAATAAATAATAAAGAAAATGACTACATTTTAACTGCTATAAGAAAAATTAACTAATTAAATTAACTAATTTGAGCTTAGTAATTAGTAGGCTACTAGCTTACATTTGATTTACCTATTACAATAGTCCACTTACAGTTACTGCTATCATAAAAATACACTTTATATGTAGGTTTAAAATTCTACAAAAGACACATTTAATGTCCAAAAATAATTTTTTTTAGCAAAATGTATATTTTACTCAGAATTATTGCGCTCCTATTCGATTGCGCTCAGTCTGTTTAGTGCGCATGCGCGCGTCAGCCTCGCCCACTCCTGACAGCAAAATGGATATGTTTGCATGACTTTCTAACATTTACAGATGAAAAATATACCTGTGACATGTCAGTTATGCTCTGAGGAAAACACAACGTCTCAAATGCATTAAACAGCACAGATATATTCGCTGTTTGTCATGGTGGATCGATTTGATCCACGATTCGACATTAAGGTCTGCTTAAGAATAAGCGTGCACAAATTAGTGAGGGAATGTGAATTTAATTTGTCGTTAATTGAACCGCTTTAGCCCCTATTGATTTGTTAGGTTATTTCAAATCAGGTTTTGGATTTTAATCCCAGTTTTTCCTCGGGTCTCCGTGGTGTTGTGATGCGTCATATTCACGCAGCAGCAGCGGTGATGAGAGCCCGGCTTGAGAAACAGTTTAGAGAGGAGAAATCAATCTACTTATAAAATATTGGTCACAGATTATTGGTCACTTTCTAAATAATAAAAATATAGCGCACCCACTAGTAATTATATATAAATAAATCGTTTTTTACCGATGCAACTATGTTAGAAACGATGCATCGCGATATAAATGACAACTTGTAGCCGATGCACACTTTTTAAACCGATGCACCAAGCGAATCGGGGAATCTGCCCATCCCTAGTACCTATAGAGTAGTACATCATCCTTCATTCATATCTCCAAAAGGTCTTTAGTTTTATCATATTTATAAAAGAAAGATACAGCTTTACCCGATTGCCAACAAAACAGACATTTGATGCTGTTTCACTTACCGTCTGCAGTTCTGAATCATGACCGGGATCTTTTATCGCTGGGACCGCTCCATCTTTCAGTATCAAACGATGTGCAAATTCAGCCGAACTGGGCCTTGTTTATAAAACGCTTGTCAACAAACACGCTTGTGAAACTGCGTCCACTGTTTACATAACGTTGGGTTCTTTAGGAAGCTGAACAAAGTTATCTTTCCCTTACAACCAAAAACACACTTCTTTGGAGACATTCTTCCTGAGCGAGTCTGCGAGCTGCTGAATGAAGCGCGTTGATTGGCTAGCTCTTGCTCTTGCTCTGGTCAATGTG